TACTGCCGAACACTCAGGGCGCTACGCGTGCTCGGCCAGCAATGGTGTCACTGAGGCCCGACACGAGGCTGATCTCTTCGTCCATGGTACCGGAGATGGACTAAAGACCGAGTCCCTCTCGAGAACCTCAATCTCCCCAACATGATTCTTATCGAAAGCATCGAGTTCTCTAGCATGCTTATGATCACCAGCCTCACTGCCGAACACTCAGGGCGGTACGCGTGCTCGGCCAGCAATGGTGTCACTGAGGCCCGACACGAGGCTGATCTCTTCGTCCACGGTACCAGAGGAACCATCCCGGCCGTCCACTAGCTTGTCTTGCACTAGTGGCTGCTGGTGGTAATGGATAAAACACCACCTCGTTCACCATAGCGTCTCGATATATCTTATTTAAAACACTGAATTTTCCATCCCTCGTGATTAGTAAAAAGTATTTTTTAGGCGGAAATCGAACCCGCACATGAAATGCGGTCTATAGATGAACGTCAACTTGAAGTGGACCTCTAATTATCGAATAACTATAGGAAAATAATCCAGGGTTTTAGCGTTGAATTTGTTTCCCAATCCTATCCTATTTGTTTCCAAATTCTGCGCCTATGTTGACACGATCAGGTCGTTCTGGTGTGTTATTGTGTGTTACGACGTCAGAATATTGTCATGAGATCAGATGCGCGGTAGCTTCACTTCACGAGATCGCAAGTTGACCTGGTGGTGATTTATCTTTGCCTGGCTCCACTTGAAGCTTAATGGCCCATTATCCCGCCTTGCTATATAAACATAATCATTCCCATGCTTCTAAAGGCTTCTCATTGCTTTTAAATGCCCAAAATAATGTGTGACTTATCCACACTACCGCTGCTGCTGTTTCCTCTACGACGTTTAAACTCGACGTTCTCTAATCCTTTATTAACTTAATTTTTGTTTGTCTGCTCTTTGACAAATCACGACGTTCATTAATTCAATGAATTTTGTTTATTGTTAAAATAATTTTTTTCAGGTGCTGATTATCAGTCTCGAATACGCCAGAGTCGAGTTAAAAAAATGACATTTTGAACCTCATTTTGACATTTATCGTGGCCCCTGGGTTCTTTTTACTGCTTACTGCTACTTACAGACAGGTACTGCTTACAACTATCAACTGCTACTTACGGTGACAATTCCTTCTTTTAATTTTTGACACATTTCCCACTCACATGGGTGATGATTTCTCTCATTGCAGTCCCTCCCCGATTGGGGGCGTTATCGTTCCCCCAAAACACGCATTCAGGAATGCGTAGCCAAGCAACGTGTTTCGTCCAAGAGGGCGACCTTCCCATTTCAATTCACTGGGAGCGCAATGGCATCCCAATTCAAGCTTCCCCAAATTTTAGGATTACTAAAGTCGACGATCTCACAACCATTCTTGTCATTGATAAAGCCGGCGCTGAACACTCGGGCAACTATACGTGCTATGCCTCAAATGCTGCCCAAACTGTCGCTGCCTCAGCCATGCTGTCGGTGCAGGGTACGATTTACTTATCTCATTCATTGTTACTTAGACATCCTCATCTTCCTTGACCTATACGAACTTTAGTCGATGTCTATTTCATATAATGTCTTTGATTAGACCATCCAACATTGTTTTCTTTCTAGATTTGTTCTTCGTTTCTTCTCATGAGACAAAAAAAAAGAAACAAATTTCTCGGCTTGTCTGACAAAACTGAGAAGTTTGGTTTATCGTTTCTTAGTAGAATTTGGCTGAGTCGTTCGTTTTTTTTGGTAAATGTTGATTGTCGTCGTTAGTAGCTTTAATCTAAATTGAGTTTTACGCACGTCATTAGACTGTGAAATGAGTCTCCGTGTTGCATATTATTTATCATAATTTCTCTTTAACATATCAGCATACCCTGGCATATATAAATTTTGACCTAGTGAAAAGAACAACCATTTTCTTTGTCAAGATTCATAATTATAATATACTAATATATTATATACTAATGGAATCGTGTTTTATTATTGTTGTTTATTATTACACACAGCTTCTGCATGCCATTTGAACTCTATTTGAATGCACCTCAGAAATTGCCTAAATGTCCAGATAACCAAACAAAGTACGCGGTTATTCTAAAATCTAAATGATGGTATTGAATTTTGGTACAATTGGAAATTAAAGAACAAAGAAAGCGTTGAAACTTTTATTGTTGTAGTTCCGAAAAGAGAATAGGTTCGCAGAACGAAGAACTTAAAGGAGTTAAGCGCATGCAAGCATGCAAGTTAATTCACAGCACTAAAGCATGTGACATAATCGGTTAACACCGAAGCTCCAAGGAGCCAATAACCCTTACGGGTTCCAAGCACTGGCGTAAAGCCGGTTAAGCAAGATCTTAATTAAACGAGCGAAACACAGAAGTTCTAACATGCATTTAAATGGAACAAAATAAAATGAAAACACACTCGCACAAACTCAAATTAAGTAACAGATAAGCAAGAGTTAACAAAAGTAATAATACTGTTTGAGCAAGCGGTCTTCACTCCGGTAAGGTTAAAGCAATAGTTTTCGATCGAGCTAACGAGCGTCGACTTTGCCTCCTAACACGAGACAAACGATAAGCGTATTAAACATTAACGAGTTAATTAGTTATAAATTTTAACAATGGGCCCAATATAATAAATTCGTATTTATTTATAAATTTAAAATGAATAATCGATAGAACAATGGAAAGAGAAAGATTCCACAAACTTCTACATAGTTATATATTTTCCATATGGTGTCCCCTTCTCTTATCATTGGTGGATAAATTATTCATTTTGAATTTTTACACAAATAAATACGAATTTATTGAATTGAGTTTATCATTTAGAATAACTCTGTATATCCCTTCCATTCTAATAGTTTAAGGAGAGCTAATAAACACGCGTAAAAAATGTATTAAACTGTCACAGAAAATTTTGAAACAGGAAAGTTGATTGAAACAGATTTACGAAATTTTTTTATGTAACAAATATACAAAAAATATAACTCAGTACTCACTGCAGTGAGTGACAGAGAGCGCATTTTCTCGTCGACGACAACTTGAGGTCACGGACAGACAGACGGACAGACGGACAGACAGACAGACGGACATGGCGAGCACAATAGTGCATTTTTACATAAATGTGAAAATGTGCTAAAAAGAGAAACCTATGACTTGTTACGAACCTCCGACAAAACAGTTATGGGCCACGCTTCAAGTCGCATCCATCACAGTACAAATTTAAAACCTTTTTCTCCAAGGCTGAAATCAAAATTATTACATAGCAAATGGAATATTTAACTTCAAGGAACACCTGTTTACACAGGATGTATACACAAAAAATTAGATCAGTACTCATTGCAGTGAGTGACAGAGAGCGCATTTTCACTCATCTCCGTGAAGTCATGGACGGACGGACGGACATGACGAGCACAATAGCGCCTTTTTTCCATAAATGAGAAAATTCGCTAAAAATGATTGAGATCTAATGCACTATGTCATTCCAAAGTTGTAATTACAAGTGCAATTTTAATACTTCCACGGAACATTAATTGTTTATGACACACATAAAGAGCCAGAGAAAGTTATATGCTTATTCCTTAACTTGCTTTGGTCAAAGCTTCTGCATCGCTGTTAATAGAAAATTTAAAAGTTGCATGATATTGGAAAGTTGATTGAAACATTATCAATTTTAATTTCGAGAAATCTTGGGCTTTGTAATATTATGGTTAGTTTGTTGATGAAAAATGTTATAGGATGCTATGTGTCATTCCTTTTTACTTAGAATTCGGAAACGAGACGGAAATGAATTTTATATCAAGAAAGAAGTAATTTTGATGCCTAACACTGTACGACTCAATGATCAATTACTTCAATTGTTGCGATGCCACTAGGAAAATGGAAAAAATAATATTCAACATATAACGATAAATTTTACGGAAAAATAAATTAATCGGTCACATTAATGCCCCAACTATTCAAAATAGAAGTTATGGAAACTTTGGATCTCTAATTTAATCCACTTGTCAGTTCCTCCGTCGTGGGTGTCGCCCCCCGAGGACGTGTCTGCAGCCCTTGGAGGTCTCGCTGTCGTGTCGTGCTCAGCCCAAGGCTCTCCAGACCCCAGCCTGTCGTGGAGCAGAGAAACCGGTGTGTTCCTCGTTTACTTTGGCTCGCATGCTGTCCCTCCTGACTCGTAATTCTGGTCTTACTTTACTGCATTGTACTTCATGTGTTATATAGGATATGCAATTTCTTCCAATAGTATAGTAATCCATCTACTTGTTCGTTTAAAAGGCGTATCTAATAACGCAAGCTGCAACAGTGCAGCAGTAACTGTTACTGCTATGGGCACCGTAGGAGACGACACGAGCATCTGGCTCTTTTGATTTCTGACACTCTTTTCGCAAACGTTTCTGTTTCCACCCTTAGTTTTTTTTATTGTGAATCTCTATTATTCATTTAACTCGAAAGTTGTGTAATTATTGCGGCATTTATTTATACAGTGCAATCTGATAATTAAAATATGGTGCAAACGACTAGTATGTTTTCTGCATTTCATATATGAGGCTGCGCAAAGAGGCTAAATTATTGTTTCATGAAAACTTTGCGTCATGCCTTGGTAGAAGATGTGTTTTTTATGTGGTTACTTGCCCCCTTCAAGACATTTGATCTGTGAAGAGAAACTTCAACTTTCATTCACAAGTAATCGACATTTTTTGCTAGCCTCAGGGGAATGGGCACCAGTGGACCAAATCAGAAGTTCATCTGTCGAAGAATTCGTCGCGCAATTTGAAGCCCGCGTTTCTCACCACAATCGTCTCGAGACTTTAGGAGGCTTGCAGTTCGAAGAAGATGAACCTGATTTGGACGATAAATCTTCGTATTCTGAAAGCCTGGGCCCCATGGAGGGAGAATCTCTTCACACGAACGGGCTCGGGAGTTTTGCGTTAGGCACTGTAGCGGATCTGAACGGTACGCTTGTGTTCGCCCACGTGATGGAATCTCACGAAGGCCGGTACCTTTGCAAAGCCAACAACGGCGTCGGTCCGGGACTTTCGAGAGCTATCAGCCTGACTGTGCATGGTGAGTGATTCACGGGAGTTGTTGGAAGTATTGTGAACTTCGGAAAGTTTATGATGGCCCCAAAGAGTTAAATCAATTTAACCGATAATTTTGTCTGTTTCAAATATTTTCCGGTAAAAGTGTTTCCGGATTTCTTTGAATTTTAACAGATTTTGGTTCATGAGGGATACTAAAAATTATTATTTAGTTTTGAATTATTATTAGGCATTAAGAGCATTCAAGGTCAAAAATTAGATTTGCTTTTGTGAATTATTAATTCATAGCATTTTCCCAGAGCCTCCATGGTTCCCCGACTGGAGTCGTCGCCTGGTGCGGGTGGAGGTCGGTGCTCCAGTGACGCTCACCTGCAGGGCCCACGGCGACCCTCCCCTCACCCTCTCCTGGACCAAGGGTGGGGCCCCGCTGGTCCCCACTCACAGGTACTTATCTCCTAGCAGGTACCAACTCTCCTGGACCAAGGGTGGGGCCCCGCTGGTCCCCACTAACAGGTACTCACCTCCCAACAGGTACCAACTCTCCAGGACCAAGGGTGGGGCTCCGCTGGTCCCCGCTCACAGGTACTCACCTCCTAGCAGGTACCAACTCTCCTGGACCAAGGGTGGGGCTCCGCTGGTCCCCGCTCACAGGTACTCACCTCCTAGCAGGTACCAACTCNGATACAGATAGTTACCTATTCGTAGTTACACTACTACCACCAGTTATTAATGCATTTCATGCGCATCCTAATTTTGTTCTATAACAAAGCGCGGAGCGTTCAACTCAACTGTTTGACCTGAGGGGCTCGGTTTAACAGTTGAGTCTGTTACGCTGTCAGCTACTGCAATTCAGAAGAAGAAATTAGCACAATATTTGAAGATTGAAGTAGTTGCAGCTAATACCCACAGCTAACATACTTGAAATGCAGTAGCCACGCGCTTTGTTGCGAAATCGCGGTTGTGAAGTCTTTAATAGCCTTCTGGTGAGGTTCGGCGCGAGCTAACTTCTCTCACTATAATTCATTGTGGATCTTCTGTTCTTATCATGAAACCTGTGGCATTACCGTGAGAGCTTCTTAAAATTGAAAAACTACATGAGTTAAAAAAATTTAAAATGAGGTTCTTGGGTTTGAACAAACGTGTGCTGAACAAACGTCCAAAATATTAACGTAATTAAACAAAAAAAGTACTTGTCTGAATCTAACATGTATTTTGTATACATGTTTAGATATATGTTTATTTTTTACCCCTGTTTAATTCCATATTATTCCTGATGATGCTGATCCAGTCGAGACACCGGGCTCTTTGTTGCCGACATGTTATATACAATCCATTAATTTGTGCAGACAGTCAACAGACAGGAAGCAACATAGAGGTGTTGGTTTCTGGGGCGAGCCTCAGCCACCGCGTGTCTGGTCTGCTGCCGTACACCTGGTACAGCTTCTCTGTCGCCGCCCAGAACAGCGTAGGGCGAGGACCGAGTTCTGCACCCTTACGCCACCGCACCCAGGAGGAGAAGCCGTCTGCACCGCCCACTAATGTGCAGGTCAGTCGATTGGGTTGCCTGTTGGAGACACCAACCCTGCAGCGTCGGATGGACTGGCATGGTCTTTCCATGCCAGTCCAGTTCTGGTGTATCACCTTATCAGCTGCCAGCCACACACGACAAAACATATCTTTTTAATTCGACCTACCAGCCGCCAGCAAAGAAGCCGGAAATGGTATGGCTTAGCATCGTCCGCCTACAAATGAAATAATTTTACACCAACCAAGCGAAGCGCGTTGGAGCATTCAAGCGTACATTTTCTACACCAACCAGCCGCCATTACTCATCTTCTGCATCGAATCAGCCCACGAAATAGTCGAAGGAAGATTATAAACGTTTCCCAAATTTTTGTGAAAGTGATAAAATGATTCGAGACTTTGCATGAGATTTATTGATGGTGAGTTTCTGCACATAAGGACAAGAAAATTTTGTAATAAGAGATAAAATGGTTAACATGGTATTCAAACAATATGATGCAAGAAGATAACATACAAAAGACTTCGGAATAAGTGAGATCACCGAATCATCGGAGGACCTGGGTAAATTTCGAATAACAACGTAGCGAATTTCAAGGTAAGGAGTTGGTGGTTCAGAGAGCCCCGACAATAGTTCGAGCATTACCAAGATTATCATCTTATGTTTCAATGAAACGCTTAGTGGAGGACACTTTACAATCATTGCACTCTAAGTTATTTGGCGCTTCAGTCGAATTCGGCGAGCTTTTTGCACGTGCGATACCAGCTTATATTTTCTCAATGCACTTAGGAAATGGTTTGCTCAGTTTATTATGTGGTGCGTTGTACCAGATTGTCTTGTCTATCTTTTCTCAAAGCACTCAGGATATGGTTCATTGCAGATGGTGCGCTGCACCAACCTCATGTCCATCTTTTGTGCACTAAGGATGTGGTTCGTTGCAGGTGGTGAGTTCAAGCTCTCGGTCGCTACGCGTGACGTGGCTGCCTCCGTCTCGAAACGCCTCGCATGGACGCCTCCTGGGGTACTACCTCGGCGTCCGCCTCCGCCTCCCCAGGTGCGCCTCACGCCTCACATTAATGCAACAAATCAGGCATACTTGCTACTGATGCTATCTATCTATATCCGTTATCTTGATATTTGTCATTTGAAAGAGCTAGGGTGTAGTCTGTACTGGTTGATATTTTAAATACCCCAAGCGCCTCTCGCAGCTCTAAGACGTCTCATAAGCCCTTTGCTGAATCATAGAGTTGACGTGCCTTTTGACGTGTTGACAGCACGATGGACGACGCAAGTGACGAAGGCAGCGCTTACAACTTTACGACGGTGGGCGGTAGCGATACTTCGTCAACAGCCACGCACACAATCGTCACTGACCTGCATCCTCACTCCTTCTACGAAAGCCTCGAGGACGCGTAATTTCTTACACGGTGTACTGGCGCCCCACGTCCAATGCCTCCGAAGTCTTGCCGACCAAAAGCACCGCCGCAGAAGGGCAGAAAAACTTCTTGAAGCTCGAAAATTTGAGCGACGTGCCATTGAATGTCAGTCTATTTGTAATTACAAATCATCGTTAAATAATGTTACGTGGGTGATTAAGGGCTTTTAGAAACGGATTCTGAACGATTGTCATTCGTGCTGTAAGTGTATTATTTTATTTCCCTGTCTCGCAATAGGGTACTTAATTGCAAGTAATCAAATGAAATGCATCGACCTGCCTTGCATGCTCGCCTTTCGTTGTGATCAGAGACACAGAAATGCGCGAAGTCAAAATGCTGACCGTTCGCCTATTTCCGCAATCTTGCTAACTGTGATTTTTCGGCACGCATGATTGTTTCTCCCGTTTACCCGCTCGGTGCTACGATTATTTTGAAATATATCGTGTTATAGCACCGATTGTATTTCGTGTATTTAAAGCATTTCGTGATGAATATATGCTCGCGAAATCTTCATATTTGCAGTGACATGGCAACGTCAGTTTTACCGTTTCCTGCCCTACAGGTGTGGGTGACCGCGTCGACTGTTGTGGGCGAGGGAAGAACCAGTGCGCTGGCGTCTGTCGTCCCCAGTGACACCGGTCTGTCCTTATCTATACACAATGATTATTTTTTTTTATATCTTGCTTATTGGTTATCCGTTGAAGACGAGAGAAACTTTTGCAATAAAACTCTCATTTCGTACTTAGATAAATGTATTATCTACTCTTTTGTTTTTCCCATCGTCTGAGGTCATGAAGTTAACTGTCTCACAGCTACCTAATAATAATAATTATGATAATAACTTACCTCATGCTGTCTAAGGAAATCTAATGTTAAAATTTATGAAAATTTAGGCATTTGATAAAATTAATTATTAGATTTTATGATGAGTTGGTAATGGTTAGCTGTAATGACAGTTGTAAGCGTTCCTATGTCTCAATCCCTCACTTTATAAGCCATCGTGCAGTAGATGGGAGCATTTAGTCGATGCACTATATAGTCACATTTCATTACCAAGCAACAATAATCATTCTCTCATCCACCCTTATGCAGTTGGTGCGGGTATTCCGGAGGTGAAACGAGAGAAACGTTAAATGTTAAACCCGCTATAGTTTTCCATTTATCCACCATTATTTAGTTTGTGCGGGCATGCAGGACATGCAGTGAGAGCCATTTGAAACGTTCAGCCGAATATAACCATCCTCTTATCCACCATTATGCAGTTGATGCGGGCATCTGGTCGGTGGGCGGAAGCGTGCTCGTCAATTGGAAGCAAGACGCACTCCTGCAATGCAATATAACCATCCTCTTATCCGCCATTATGCAGTTGGTGCGGGCATCTGGTCGGTGGGCGGAAGCGTGTTCGTCAATTGGAAGCAAGACGCAACCGTGCGCCCCATGGGGCCTCTCACTGCGGTCGCGGGCCTCACCTTCCGCGTGGCCTGTCCCGTGGGGGGACATCCCATACACAAAATTACCTGGCAGAAAGGTAAGACTCCTGCGAGAACTTTGAAGTCTTAATCGGCTTAGAAACATTCTGGTGCTTCATAAATAACTAAGACGTGTTATCATGCGAGTTTTTCATGTTTTCTTCATAGTTTTTGTTGACAATTCCGTGTTGCCCAGACGGGTCGCTGCTGCCGACGAGTCACCGGCAGCGTGTAGGGCAGGACGGGACGCTGGAGGTGAGCGACGTCAGGAGGGATCAGGACCAGGGCTCCTACTCCTGCACCGCCTACGACAGGCAGGGACAGTCAGACTCGCAGGAAAATTTCCTTCAAGTTGTGGGTGAGATAGAAATTTATTAACCGTTTTCAAATATAAGCCTAATTATTTCATCGAGAAATGAAAAACAAAACAGATAAAATATTGAAACTGAAAAATGTGCGATTGTTTGAACTTTTTAGCAAATTGTTAGCAATAATTGACAATAAGTTTGTTTTTTTGCCTGTTCAGCTCCTATGTAGTATTGTTGACCGCACTCCTTCACAGAGTGTCGAGGTGAATTTGACTCCCACCTTAGGAAGTCCCGCTGAGCGGAAAATATCTCAGATAGGCTTGGTTTGTAAATATAAGTTTTTACTGGATCGTTTACTTTTTTATCCAGTTTTGGAAACTAGTATTATTGAAATTGTTTCCATGCTGACAACGCGTTAACGTGTCCCTGTATCAGTGCCTCCCGAAGTGTTGCCCTTCGACTTTAGCGGTGTTCACGGTGAGGGTGAACGTGTGGGCGCGTCCTGCATCTTAAGCAAGGGCGACCCACCTATCAAGATAAGATGGACTAAGGACCGAGTCCCTCTCGAGAAGCTGAATCTCCCCAACATCATTCTTATCGAAAGCATCGAGTTCTCTAGCATGCTTATGATCACCAGCCTTACTGCCGAACACTCAGGGCGGTACGCGTGCTCGGCCAGCAATGGTGTCACTGAGGCTCGACACGAGGATGATCTCTTCGTCCACGGTACCAGAGGAACCATCACGGCCGTCCACTAGCTTGTCTTGCACTAGTGGCTGCTGGTGGTAATGGATAAAACACCACCTCGATCACCAGCCTCACTGCCAAACACTCAGGGCGCTACGCGTGCTCGGCCAGCAATGGTGTCACTGAGGCCCGACACGAGGCTGATCTCTTCGTCCACGGTACCAGAGGAACCATCACGGCCGTCCACTGGCTTGTCTTGCACTAGTGGCTGCTGGTGATAATAGATAAAACACCATCTCGTTCACCATAGCGTCTCGAAATATATCTTTAATTTAAAACACTGAACTCTCAATCCCTCGTGATTAGTAAAAAGCATTTTTTAGGCGGAAATCGAATCTGCACATCAAATGCGGTCTCTAGATGAACGTCAACTTGAAGTGAACTTCTAACTATCTAACTACCATGGGAAAATATTTTATTACAGGGTTTCAGAGATGAATTTGTTTCCCAATCCTGTAATTCTGCGCCGATGTTGACACTCTCAGAACGTCCTTGTGTGTTCTAGTGTGTAACAATGTCAAAGTAGTGTCATGAGATCGGATGCGCGGTAGCTTCACTAAACGAGATCGCAGGTTAACCTGGTGGTGATTAATCTTTGCCTGGCTCCACTTGAAGCTTAATGGCCCATTATATCCCGCCTTGCTATAAACATACTCATTCCCATGCTTCTAAATGCTTCTCATTGCTTTTAAATGCCCAAAGTAATGTGTGACTAATCCACACTACCGCTGCTGCTGTTACCTCTACGACGTTTAAACTCGACGTTCTCTAATCTTTTATTAACCCAATTTTTGTTTGTCTGCTCTTTATTGACAAATCCTGACGTTCATTAATTCAATGAATTTTTGTTTATTGTTAAAATAAATTTTTTTCAGGTGCTGATTATCAGTCTCGAATACGCCAGAGCCGAGGTAAAAAAATAACATTTTGAACCTCAGTTTGACATTTATCATGGCCTCGTGGTTCTTATTTCCTAATTTCTTGTCAACCATCACAGAAAACTGCTACCTACGGTGACAATTCCTTCTATTAATTTTTTGACACATTTCCTACAATTACACGGGTGATGATTTCTCTCTTTGCAGTCCCTCCCCGTTTGGGGGCGTTGTCGTTCCCCCAAAACACGCATTCAGGAATGCGTAGCAGAGCAACATGTTTCGTTCAAGAGGGCGACCTTCCCATTTCAATTCACTGGGAGCGCAATGGCATCCCAATTCAAGCTTCCCCAAATGTTAGGATTACTAAAGTCGACGATCTCACAACCATTCTTGTCATTGATAAAGCCGGCGCTGAACACTCGGGCAACTATACGTGCTATGCCTCAAATGCTGCCCAAACTGTCGCTGCCTCAGCCATGCTGTCGGTGCAGGGTACGATCTACTTTTCTCATTCAGTGTTACTTAGTTATCCTCATCTTCCTTGACCTACACGAACTTTAGTCTACTTTATATCTTGCCTTTGATTAGACCGTGCAACTTTATTTTCTTCCTCGATTTATTCCTAATTTTTTCTCATGAGATCCAAAAATATTAGAAACAAATTTCTGGGCTTATCTGATCAAAACTGAGAAGTTTGTTTATCGTTTCTCAGTTGGATTTGGCTGAGTCGTCCGTTTTTTTTTGGTATATGTTGATTGTCGTCGTTAGTACCTTTAGTCTAAATTGAGTTTTGCGCACGTCAGTAGATAGTGAAATGAGTCACGGTGTTGCATATTATTTTATCATAATTTCCCTTTAACTTATCAACATACCCTGGCATATATAAATTTTGATTTAGTATAAAAAACAACCATTTTCCTTGTTGAGAATTATAGCTATTACTAATGGAATCGTGTTTTCTTATTACATGCAGCTTCTGCATGCCATTTGAACTGTACTTGAACGCACTTTAGAAATTGCCTAGATGTCCAGCTAACCAAACATTATTGCGGTTATTCTAAATGATGGACCCAAAATAATAAATTCGTTTTTATTTAATTGTAATTTAAAATAAATAATCTATCCACCAACGGAAAGAGAAAGATTCCACATATTTTTACATAGTTGTAAATGTTCAATATTATCTCCCCCTAATTGTCTCCTCAGTATATACTGTCATGTAATCTGTCATGTCACAATCAGTCGTATAATAAATTTGAATCCTTCTCATATCATTGCTTGATGAATTATTCAATTTGAATTTATAGTTAAATAAATATAAATTATTGAATTGGGTCTATCATTTAGAATAACCCTGTATATCCCTTCCACTCTAATAGTTTGAGTTGAGCTAAAAAATACGCTTAAAACATTGATAAGAATTTCTGCTGTAATTTATACTGCAGTTGATTACCTATCCTTTGAATTTTAAGAACAACTTTCTGATTCAAAGAAAAAGATTCAAATTTTGGATGAGCATCCTTCCAGTTGGTCACCGGGTCCGCATTTACAGGAAAATCGCTGTTACAATTATGAGCTTTTGACATAATAAACTCTGAAGGAGTCATTTTCAAAGATACATGCCATGTATTATTATAAACTACTACTGCTTTCGGTAAAGCGACATTCCAGGAGATAGGATTTTCATTAACAATTCCCTTCACCAATTCCGCAATAGTTCTGTTTCTGCAATATGTTCCCTTCACCAATTCCTCTACAACATATTGCAAAAAACTCGCTCTTTGTTACGGCTCTAAATTCCTTTGCATTGGAGATAGGAGGATGAATCAACACGAGGAACTTTTTGCAGTATACTGGTGATCTTCAGGCGATATACAAAGTTCTCTGTACAAGGGCGCACAATTTATTATTCGCTAAAAGTCCAAGAACTCCAGGAGACTGGATCGCAACCTCAGGAGTACAACTTCGACGCGCTCTAATATACTGTCAAGAAACACACAAGTAGACAGCAAGGATACGGGTTCGAGCCGCACTACGTTGCTGATAACCAGCCGCAGTTATAATGGGTTCGAGCTCAAATACACTGCCAAAAATCACAAAAGAGAACAGCAAGAGATACGGGTACGAGCCGCATCAAGATACAAGCAACCAGCTGCAGTTATCAGAGGTACGAACCCTAATGCAATGCCGAAAGCAACAAAAGTTCGATGGCATTTACGTTCCAAAGGCACGATTATCGAGAGGTACGAGCCCTCGACAAGCCGCTGACAATTTACTCGAGCGCAAAGGTCATTGGCCCCTACGACGCGAGGGTGCGCACGCAACGGTTATTAGCAGCACCGAAACGCCGCCAGCAGCTGGTAATAACCAAGAATTCTACATACGTCGTATTTAGTTAGTCCGTTCGTGGATCCCTTGCTTACGCCTGGTATTACCAAGCGCTCTGTGGATCGGTTATGCTTTGTGAGATATTTCCATAACTACAGCAGAGTCTTAGCAGCCCAGATCTGGCTCTCTCTATTCGATTCGACTCGCACGGACCCAGTCATACTGAGCACACAATTTGCTCGCCTGGGGTAACTCGGCTAAAGTAGCTTCTCTACAATATCTCGTTTGCAGCGCAACAAAATGGACTAACCTCATAATTCATGTACAAAAGAAGATATTATAATACAATACAATATGGTAATCATAGTTTTAACCCTATGGCAGAATAATCACATGTCAATGGTCAAATAATAATAATCTAATTCTAAAGAGATCGAGGTCTGCGTCGTCCAAGACCAATGATTCCCTGAAAGGAATAAACTCGCACCCTGCTCGAGGCTAGCAGCTGTTTCGATCAATCGCGTTAGAGCTACAAGACGTTCAGCCGCACATCGAGACACTAATAACTAAATACTCTGAATTAAAAATATGATACCACAGTAAAAAGGAAGTTCTTTGCTTCTATCACGAAATGAAAAATATGTTTATGCATTACTTAGTTATAAGTTAACAAAATAATACCACGGATTCAATGAGACTCAATATTCTAGTCACTAATCTCAACAAAAGAAAGTGATCAAAAGAACGTGTTATCAAAACAATACTCCTGAAAATAAAAAAAAGTACGGTGAAACCTGTATCTCGTCACCAGAGGTGGGTAGTTGCGCGCTACATGAAGCGGCCGCTACCAGCGGCCGCGACATTTTCAGTAGCGGTAGCGGTAGAGGCGCTACATTTAAGCAATTGTAGCGGTAGCGGTAGCGCCGGCTACATATTTAAGTAGCGATCCGAGGTTTTGCCGCTACAGCGCTACCGCTACATTTATAGATAAAGCTTTTAGATTTTACTTAATAGTATTAAATATTATTTAAAACCAGCATTATACATACATAGTATAAATTACAGAATAAAACTGTACGAAAGATTTCGGTGTAATGTTGTCAACCTCAGCCTGTTACTAGTGTCAACATGTTAGTTGTTAGTCCAGAGGTGGGCAGTTGCGCGCTACATGGAGCGGTCGCTACTAGCGGCCGCTACATTTCCAGTAGCGGTAGCGGTAGCGGCGCTATATTTAAGCAATTGAAGCGGTAGCGCCCGTTACATTTAGGGCATGTAGCGGTAGCGGCCGCTACATTTAAAAGTAGCGTTGCCCAGCTCTGCCCGTCGCACACGGTATTTTTTTTAAATGTGT